TGTGCCACTGATTATGACCCTCTGGGATCTACCATTCAGTCAGTTATCAATCTACCTCACTGTCCACTCATCCAGTCCACACTTCCTGAGTTTGCCTATGAGGATTTTGTGAGAGACAATCATGAAAGCCTTGCTGAAGTCAAGGTAGACCATATCCACTGCTCTCCCCTCCTCTGTCCAGGTAGTAGCTTCATCATAGAAGGTAATCAGGTTGATTTAGCATGATTTATCTTTAGTGAATCCATACTGACTTTTCTTGATCACCTTCTTGTCATCCATGTGGATAGAGATGCCCTCCAGAATGAGGTGCTTCATCACCTTTCCAGGGATTGAGGTGAGGCTGACTGGATGGTAGTTCCCTGAGTCCTCCTTCTTGCCCTTTTTGAGGTGACATTTGCTTTCTTCCAGTCTGCAGACACCACTCCTGATCACCATGACCTTTCAAAGATGATTGTGAGCAGACTTGCTATGGGTATCCGCCAGCTCTCTCAGCACACGTGAATGCATTCTGTCAGGGCCCATGGTCTTGTGGATGTTAGTAATGGGCCCATATTATCCTTACTTTTCCTAAGCATGCTTTCATCCAGTATCTCTGCATTTATTTGCCCTTGTAAATTGTGCTGGTTTAAAAGTTAACCAGCAGGGGAAATGAACTCAACTCAAAAGAGAGATTGCAAGTCAGAATAACAATTTAATAAAATAATACAATAAGCACGACTACACAAACAAGCAATTGGTCTCAACCCACAAAACCCAAAATGTACAACCTGGCACCCCAGGGCACAAACAAAATGGTGCTCCCTGGACCCCCCCCCCCCGAGTCCAAAGCAAAGGGAGAGGGGAAAAGAAACCTGCTGGTGGGAGAGCTGCTGCAGTCCGGCCGCAGTGGTGATTGCAGTTCAGTTGAGGGTGGTGGTCTCAGTCTGGCTGAGAGCGGTGAGCTGCAGTCCTCCTCTGGATCCCACGAGAGAGAGAGTGGCCAGGTTCTGAAACTCCAGGTTTATATATTCTCCAGCTCAGGCAGCAATGCTTAGCCCCTCCCCCGGAGCGGGGAATTCCATAAAAGGATGTTCAATCCTTCCCTCAGAGTGGGGAATTCCATAAAAGGGTGTGAGGGTACTCAGTCAGGGAATTCCACAAAAGGGCATGAGGACAGGAGCATGGGGGGGGGGCACCTCGCAGGCCTCTACTGACAACAGTTTCTGGGAAATGGCATGGAGGGCTATAGAATACACAGTTTTGGGCTACACCCATCCAATGATGAATCGGTCCCAGCTGTTCTAACTAGGACAAAATACAGAACTCTTGTCCATTATACGGGAAGGTAGGAGAGAGTTGAGATTTATGCCTTTGTCCCTTTCTGCAGCTCAAATAGGATTGCTCAGTGTTAAGGCCCTTATGAGTGGTTCTTCACTATTGTCCTGCAGAACACTCCCAGATGTTTCAAGCACTGACAGTATTTGTCAAGTTATGCCTCCTACTGCACACAGGTTGCATTTGCAGAAATACATTTTTTAAATGAATACTGATTTTAAATGCCTCTGGGCACTGAATTCCTTTAACAAACCTCAGTATGTGCAGTAGCTGTTGCACTATCATTTTATACTGTGTGTTAGATGAGTATCAGGCTAAGAGAACATTTGATTTCTGTGTAACCAGTATGACTATCTTTCTTTAATATAAATACATACACCAAAATGCTTTTATTGGAATGTCTTCAATATGCAACAGGACAAGAGGCCTCGCCAGCATCATCAGGTCTTATTCCTAGCATATTTCTGAGCTTAGTGTCATGGCATCCCTCAGACTACCAAGTAAAGAAATGGGATTGAGAAGAAGAAACTGACGTTAATTTATCTCTTCTAGGTCTTTCTTTCTCTGGATGCAAAATTTTCTCAATCTTAGCCTAGAAAATCAGCTAATCCTGTTTTCAGGCTGCAACAAAGACCATGAAATACCTGTTCATCTCTTCACAGTCACTGAGGATGGCTCTTAGCCTGCCATGTGAAATCCATCAATACACAGCCAAAATGCCCTGGCTGAACATGCTGTTTCTGTCATCCAACCTCAACATTTAACTGAGGTCTGTGATCTCCCCAGGCTTGCTGTATGTTCAACAAACATGAAGAGAAATAAGCTTCTTCAGAAGAGACCTTGAAGAAAGAGATTGATGTAGGTACTCTGAATTACCTTCTCAAGAGGACTGTGGATCCCATCTCTCTCCCCCCGATCTACACAAAATTTAGGAATCCCAGCCCAGACATGTGTCTTTGGCACTTAAGTCTAGGAAAAGAGCATTGGTGCCTCAGGGAACATCTTAGACCCCAGAAAAAGCACTCAACTATTATAATATAGGTATCAGTAGATAAAGCTAATCAACAGAAATAATTTTGATGGAAAAATCAATGTCAAAGTCACATTGACTTCAACAGGACCAGTATTTCATCCTATGTGATTTTAAACCAGCCACAAAATGGACATTGCTGTGCTGCTGACATTAGGGCTATCATTTTATGCCTAATGCAGACAGTAAACCTTTCACTTGCTAGATACGAGATGGACAGACTCATACAGAAATAACCCTTCAAGGATAAACACTCTTTTTAAATCACTGAAGAATTTGAGTGGGACCTTAATCACTAGCACAGCCTGGCAGGTCATTTTTTTGACACTTGCACACAATTCTGAAAATCAGCCAGAACTGACAGGTGCAAAGTTTCTGCACTCCTGTTATACACAATAATTCAGTAGTAAATGATCATATGTGGCCTTAATGTTTCTCTCTCTCTCTCTCTCTCTCTCTCTCTCTCTCTCTCTCTCTCTCT